CACCTAGGTGGCTCTGTCAGTTAAGCATCCAACTCTTGGTTTCGGCTCAGGTCATGATCTCAGGGTCCTGAGATCAAGCCCTGTGTCAGGCTCCCCACTTAATGGGGAGTCTGCTTGAGATTCTCTCCCTCTCCCTCTGTCCCTCCCCTCCCTCTAAAATAAATAAATAATCTTAAGAAAAACTAAAAATTAAGGAGGATAAAATAAAGATTATTATAGATGTTATCTTAATTCTTGTAATTAATCCTCAAATAACTAAAATTCTCAGGAAACAGAGTGTTCTAGTTAATATGTAGCTGAACATTCTGGTCACTCTTTTGAAAAGCCCTTTTAAATATGTTATTATACTTTATTTCCATAGTAAATACGTAACTTAGATTTTATTTGATGCGAAAGGGCTTTCATTTGAGTCAGCTTTCTGAATATCAGTTCTTGCTGCATAGGACTCAAGCTTAAAAGAGTAATCTATGTTCTGCCTTGAACTCATTTGCTAAAAGGTTTCTTGTTTACTTTCTGTTGTTTGGGGATATTTCATAGTTGATAAAGGCATGTTTATTTTAACCAAAGGTAGATCTCTAATTACAAGTTGTATTCCAAAAGCTTATATGTCCCTAAATCATTTGAAATATGAAATGCCTCTTCTACCAAAAAAAAAAAAAATTATAGATCACAATTAAGTTCTCTAACTTGTCCAAAACGCCCATAATACATATGAAATACATTTGCCAAATGAGTTAGAAGTTACAAGGATATTTTGCAGTGAAATTTATCAAACTCAATCTGAATATAAAACGGTTTTCATTTACCTTTAATGCTGATATCTGAGAAAAAAGTAAGCTGGGGGACAATGAGAAGGCGAAAGATAAAAATTTCTGTAACTATTCTAAATGGGTCAATGGTCCTCAGTTCTTTATTATACAGAATGCATAAGGTCTCTCAACAAGGCCATTAGGGATTCTCTTCAGAGTGATGAATAAAGGAGGCAGGGGATAGCAAAACCGAGTGTCCAGAGTGAACTGAACAAGCGGAACGCAAGGGAATAAAGAAAACGTTGAAAGGATGGCTGTGTATCCATGGAGCAGAAACCCGCTGAGGTATCAATGGTGAGAGAGAGAGAGAGACCAGAATGGGACTCAGAGCAGAAAGGAATTGAAAGCAATGCTGAAGAAAACAGTACCCCACAAAAGACATGAAGACTGAATGTGGGGTATGAGAGCAAAGTCACTAACACAGAAGAGGCCACAATACACATGAAGCCGACTCCCATCTGTACCTGCAGGATGACCTACCCTGTGCATGCCTGACGGCCACACCTGGCTCGTTTGTACTTAAGAGGATGGCAGGCAGTTAGATCCTACTTCTGAATCCAAGTGACCACAGAGGCCTTGCTTGGCCTGTCCTACAGCATGCTGGCCTTGGCTGGAAACTTTGGTTTATAGCTCCTTCACGGCCTCTTCCATCTCCCAAGGCCCTAATGAAATGATATCGCAGTTTTGATCTTATCCCTGAATTTCTACCCAAGCGTCGTATCTATTAGCGCATCTATATTTAGATTCCTGACTTTCAACTGGTCATATGGGTCTGTGGTCAGATAGTTTTCCCATCTTGCTCTTTTCCAAGGCAAAGTGTCGCCTGGTCTAAGTAAAAATGCAGTGCATTCATTCATTCAACCAAAAGCCGACATTGAGTGTCAGGCACTGTCTGAGGCCCAGTGGTCAACACAACCATCTTGCTTGCCTCCTAGAAATGTTTGATTCATTTTATCACAACATGTGAGACAAATACCAAAAGGGGCAAACAGGAAACTTCTCTGGCCTCTAAGATGCTCTGGTCATTCTGAAAGATGCTAAACTATGGCTGGAGGATATTAAATTTTACGAGCCAAAGAGAAATGTCAATTCCAAGTCTGATTAAGAGCAGAGAATTAGGGGCACCTAGTGGCTGTCAGTTAAGCATCCGACTCGATTTCAGTTCAGGTCCTGATCTCAGAGTTGTTAGATGGAGCCCCACATCGGACTCTGTGCTCAGCATGGAGTCTGCTTGAGAGTCTTTCTCTCCCTCTCTCTCTGCCCCTCCCCCCGCTCAGGCTCTCTAAATAAATAAATAAATAAATAAATAAATAAATTTCTAAAAAAAAGAGTAGAGAATTACCTTGAATGTTCTCCAAACTGTATTTTAGAGATAAGACAATGTGTTGTAAAAAGGGAAGAAGAGCTTACCGAATTAGTAACTTTCATACCCAAACCTCCAATAAACAAGGGCAACCTCTGCCACTTGCAAAGAACTCTTTCACTGAAAAGTGAAAGTAGTCTTTAACCACCACCACCCACACATAAAGCCCTTTTCACATACACAGGTATACGTATTCATAAGCACTGCAGAAGGTCACAAACACAAAATAATGCTGTAGAAGGACTCACTGGTCAGTGGAAAAATGTACTGCACTGTGGTTGAAAATTCTCTGCCCTTTAAAATGATACCAGGGAATAAGAAGGATTATTTCAAATAAATCTTCAAGTCTAACCTCAGTGAAAGTCAAAATTTCAGTTCAAAATTTAATTCGGAACCAGGGAAAGGCATCCAGTATTTAACACATCTACCGGAGCATATACAGAGAAGTACTTCTACTTGCCCTCTGAGTTTTCTGCAGTCTGGCTTAGTGCCTGGGCATGAGCATTTCCAGGGCCCAGGGCCAAAAGCCACCAGAGCCTACAATTCTTTCCCTGGACTCAACACCTCTTCCCTTCTTCATCCACTCTCTCATTACTACATCATTTAAGCTTATCTGAAATATCTTCAGAAAAATGCAAGAGTTGCCACTGATTATCTCTCTGGAAGGCAAGTCTTACAATAATTATCCTGCTAGATAAAAACTGTGTGGCTGAGAACCAGATCAGTAGTTGGCCTCTAGTAATCCCAACCCTGGATTCAGTCAGTCAACTCACTTCTTCAGCTTTATGAAAAGTGTGTTGATGTTTAACCTGAAAAAAGGAATCCCATAATTGCAGCTCCTTTCTAGAAGATTTGTCCCAGAACTCTTTGATGTCAGTTGTCAAATTCCTTCTGGAGACTTTTCCCTTTAGAAGTGCATCATTTGGTGGGGAGGGGGGAAGTAGGGTATTGACATAGGGAAGAAAAAGAAGAATGGGTAAAAGCTTTCACATTCACTTGTGTTACTAATTAAGATTACTAATTAAAACACAGCAATGAGTTTAGGTGTATATTTAATGTCCCACAGTATTTCATCGAAGACAGGAGGTAAGAATTCTTTGCTGATTCGTGTTACAGCAAAAGACCCCACCTAACAGAATAAGAAATATTCATGATTATACTACTTGTGAAAGGAAGACCTAAGACACTTCCATGTCCAGTACCCAGAGTTACACCATCAGAACACAATGGAATGCTGTTTGACCAGCTGATTGCACGTGTCAAAGACTGAAATGCATGTTTCAAAGGTAGGTCTTTGCTGATACCTATTCCGGATCTATAAGTAAATGAATAGGAAAGATTTAAAAACTGAATATAGCAATTGGCAATTTAGCAACCCTCCAAGGCTATAGGCATTTAGAAATGATTTCACATTAGAGTTGCACACAGATTCAATGTACAATTACTGAATACCTGGTAGTGTGCTAAACACCTGAAAAAAGGATACTAAATAATTTTAGTGATCATGTTATAGAAGCAAAAGTCTCCCATTAACAGGAACAAAAAAAGGTGACTCAAAAGTCCAAAAGTAAGTTCTCATCCTGATGCAAAAATATATATTGAGATATAAACATTATGTGGTTTGTGACTCTTGGAACCTTACGCTTAAGTTTTAATTACTAAGCATATGACATCATCTCTTTAGTCTAGGAATGTTGGTTCCTCAAAGTATTGTAACATCACCATGATACCTAAAATATAGTGAAAATGGAAATGCTTATGAAAGTAGGTTTCAAATATCAGAAAAGATATTCTCTACACAGCATTGTTTAATCATAGTAAGTGATGTTACTTCTATATAATGCATAAAAATGACTGTCTACTTGTAATTTTCAATTTACTTCCCCACATTGTTCCCATGGGATCCTCATAATCTATGCAATGGGCAATGGAGGTGATGTCCTCATTTTTTTTTTTTAATTTTATTATGTCAGTCACCATACAATACATCATTAGTTTTTGACCTCATTTTAACAAATTAAGAAATTGAGGTTTGGGAGACTTATACAAGGCCTCAGCAATTACTAACTAAACCAAGAACCCAGGCTCTGACTCTCAGCCCAGCACTTCCTACCATAGGAATGAAAACCCCCACATTTCATCAAATTGATTGTGGATCTTGCAACTGTCAAAATAGCAGAGGAATAATGGCTACTTTTGTTAGCAACAAAAACCATGTAACCTACGGTTAAAAGAGTGGACAAATAATCGTCAACGTTTCTTCACATTCGCCTAACATGAATATTGATGGAATTTCTGTAACAGCTGCAAGGAAATTCCTAAGCAGAGCCAAAAGAAAAGGCATTTCCTAAAGTTCCTGATAAAACTTAAAGAACTCTGTTCAATCTTTTCAAGTGAAATCAGTTAATGCAAAGAAAGTCATCAATACTACCCCCAGAGTCACCCAAAAAAGATTAAAAAGGAAAAAAAAAAAAAAGAAAAGTTGGCCTTTTCTAAGACCAACAACTTTCGGGCGGGTCATTTTTCCCTTCTAAAATCTTCCTACTCTGCTGGGGACGAGGGGTATTTCTAAAAGGTGGCAATTTTAACAGCCTGGTTTCCTAAACGCGGCCCTTAGAAGCATCCGTGGCACAGGGGAGCGCGCACTACTCCCCCGGGGTAAAGAGCAGGAACAGAGCGCGGAGCAGGTCTGCGCGCCCGCAGGCGAGCGCGTGCAGGCGAAGAGAAGCGGCCGCAACGCTGCCTCTCTCCGGGCCCCCGGTGCTGACCGCGCTCGGCGCGCAGGAGCGGGGCGCCACCCTCCCCGCCCTCCCGGGCCGCGGACCTACCAGCGAGAGCACCTTATAGGTGTTGGGGTCTTTGGCCGTGCGGGCGCGCACCGCCTTCTCCGGCGGCTCCTCCCCCACCTCCATGGGGGCCAGCAAGGACTCAGCCGCCTGCCCGTCCCCGGGCGCCGCGGCGGCGCGACCGACGCTCGGGTCGCCGTTCCCCGCCGGGCCCTCCCGGGGAACGCGGC